TTATATAAAAGGCTGCTACTCCCACCACTTCAGTAATTCCCTTTTGTGTCACACTGGCAGAGTGCCATATGACAATCAGGGTAGTTGACATGAGGAGAATAATCATGAAATCTAGGGTGGTTCTTTACAGATTCACAGCAGTAGCAAGAGAGTGGGATAGCTTGTAAATTATTCATACACTATATATCACCACAACCATGTCAGCCATGAAGTGAACTAAATTTCATCTGGAGGCACCGAGTTAAAACATTTTTTTTGTATACTCTGACAGACTGTAATAAGTCACTTTTATCACTCAGAGTCCCAATAATGACCAAAGTTTGCATAAACTTTGTCAAATCAGATGCAAACAAGAACATCTCCCATACCTCATGCAGTGAGTCTTCCTCTGTATGAAGCATAACTGAGCCATCTGCCCCTCCACCCCCAACATCTCCTTCTGAACCATCTGCACCCTCAGAGGACACCACCACCATCTGTTGCTGGCTGCCGTCAACATTCTGATAGAAGTACTGGCCTGATTCATCAACGAAAACCTGAGCTACATCACCTGCAGAGAATTGGAGGAATAATAATAAGCATTACCAAACGAAAAAGCAAAAAGGAATTTTTCAGAGGCAAAAGTCTCTCAGTCGATAATTATAAATAAATAAAAAAATATTAAAGCAAAAGTAACTTTTCAGTCCCTCTAATTGTGGCATATTACGAGCAAATTTGTTTTTCGTTTATTCTTTCTTTATCAAATGCATTCTATAATGGAAAATCTTCTTTGTAATCCTACCTGAGGTTGCCTGGTCACCAGTTTGTATTTCTTTATTGAAGGTGTCCAGGTAGTTGTGAATATCACTTATTGTCTCTCCCGCCTGGCTCCCCTCCATCCTGAAAGATACCTTAGTGTTATATTATACAGGAAATGGAAACAAAGGGAATTCTCACATGAATAAAAATGCTGTTAAATTTTTTTGTATACATTGATGCAGTCTGTACGAAACTTATGTAATTGCTAAAAAAAATAATAAAATAAAAAAATGCTTGTCTTTAAAACTGTTAACTGAGAAAAAAGAAAATCAACAGCTGCATGCTTACAATAGGCATACAATGGATAACACACTTGCCTTCACATCTTAAAATATTCCTTAATTCACGTTAGTTATATTTCACAACGTACACATTTTACATAATTGCTTTGAATACAAATTATTTTAATTTTCAATCATCATATTTTCAATACTAAATTAAGAAGCTATAACCTAGTGCCATGATAGTTTTCCTATTAACTAAGAGATTTCTGAATGCTCTATAAAATATTGTGAATTAAAAAATGTTACCTGCTAAGCAACATTTGCTTGTCTTACTGAAAGGCAACAAACATTTTAATTCTATCTCTTTAATTTGTGGATAAAAAAAATTAGGTTTCGTCTTTAAAAGAATATATTGATCTATTTCATCTCCTATTTCACATCAACAAAATTCACACTATCTAAACTTGTAATTATCAACACCCGCAACTTTTTCAGTTAATACAGGTAATACAGTAATGGGGTAGGGGACTGGGGTAACTCTAGCATCAGGAAGGATTTTGGTTCATATGGCGATTTCTGTGGATTCCCGAGAGTGCCCCCAAGGTTGATGGCGGGAGTAAAAGGGACCTAGTCTGGAGGGGGGGGGGGGACACCTCGTAATCAACTACCAATATTTTCACCGTTTCCGAAAGTTCATTTGCAATGGAAAATGACAAGAGACTCATGCATAATATACTATGAATAACTGGAAAAACAATAATTGCAAGGTGCCAGAAATTTGTCCGTCACTCATTCCGGTGACTTCAGGAAACCATCTGCCCTTTTGGCCAGTGAGTTCAATGCGTATATCGGAACTTATGTTGCCTGACTATGAGGTTAATATATATAAAAACACCCATTTTATAATAGACAACATTAAAGTCCCAGTCAACCACATCTTGATTACCTCAAATACACAAAACAATCTCATTTTTACAGTTAAGTAAGAGTCCTACACAACAGCGGCACGCTCCAAAGTAATCACTACGGCCGCCGCACTTCAAGAACTACAGCAAAAGACAACAAACCTCTACCATGTAAAATATAACAAGACAGAGCATGAGCTGTTTCTTGACCAAAAATCACCAGGAAGGTGTGTGTGTGTGTGGGGGGGGGGGGGGATCAGCCGTAAGCAATATAAGTCATAAGTAATATTAAGCTTAACACCCTTGATCACAATAAAAGAGCACTATAACTTACAATAAAACCTCCTAATCTGTATTTCCTATCTAGGTTACGCACTTGCAATAAGACAATAACAATATGAGATTTTCATCATCTAAACGCCTCCAAGGAATGCAAAAGACATCAAATTCATGAGCTACGTACTTCCTAAACTTCAAGCAGACTTTCAAAACTGTCATCTCCCAATGCAAAAGCACAGCCTCACTCACCCTAAAAATATCATAAATAAACAAACACCTGTAAGTTTACAATACCATGACATAAAGCCTAAGTTATGTATGTAATCATTGTTTTATATCTTTATTGAGGATGTCTACATAAACCTCATCCCTATAAATTTATAGATACAAAGAGGAAAAACTATATCAAAACCTCTGATTTCTTTAAACAATAGGTCTTAATGTATTGATGTATCATAAAATCGTTAATAAATGTGATAACCAGAATAAAAAAGATTAACTTCACGCCATTTTACACCGAACTACGTTATCAAAAGAGGACGTTGGCCCGAAAGACAAAAGAAAATAACGATAATCTCATCTCTCGTCGCATATTAACAACATAGGAGGAAAATATATATGTAATCATTGTTTTATACTTTTAAATCATTATTTTATATTTTCATTGAGGATGTCTACATAAAGAGTAAACCTCATCCCTATATATGTATACATACAAAGAAAAACTATCTCAAAACCTCATGATTTCTTCAAACAATAGGTCTATATGTGTTGATATATCATGAAATCCTTAATAAATGTGATAAACAGAATAAAAAATCAACTTCACGTCATTTTACACCGAAATACGTTATCAGAAGAGGACGTTGGCCCGAAAGACAAAAGAAATAACGATAATCTCATCTCTCGTCGCATATTAACAACGTAGGAGGAAAATATATGTGTTTAAAACTACGCCGCGGGATAAAAATCAGAGGAGAGACAGAAAGAGACATAGGCTAAAACACCAGAGAGACGAGGAATGAAGGAGGAAGGGAGAAAAAAATGAACACGGGAGAGGGTGCTCTTGAAAAACGCCATTTATTAGACTCAAAAGCAAAATGACAAAAGAATTCCCCGTCAGCTGTCTCCCTCTCTCGCCACGGGAATAAAAAGGGCGAGATGGACTAGGCTACAACGCAATCTGACGGAATTTGAGGCTACGAGAGCTACAACGACGCAATCTGACGGACAAATTCACACTTAGAGCTTTTAGGAGTGAAAAGTAGGGGGCATCACGAGCGAGGGGTCTGGGATCCGCCTGGCTCTCCCCTTTTCCTCCCTTTTTCGCGGCCTTACGCTCCTTCTCCTTCCTCTCTCGGGCTACAATGGGGTTGATTGGACGGAGCACTGTGCGGAAAGCGTGGATTTGAGGTTGATAAAGGGTTGCAAATGGGGTTAATTGAGGCTGGAAATGTCACCTTCGTCACTCCTGGTCCGGCCGTCAGAGAGCGCACGGGAACAAAATGGCGGACGTCAGGGACCCTTTCCTTCGGGCGGGACGGTTTGCGGCCTTTGGGTGATGGCGCGCCTTCTCTCTATTTTCGTAAAAGAGGGAATGTGAGGTGTAATTGGATGGGGGGGAAACAGGGACGGATTGAGTGACTTTGGGTACTCGATTATTTTTTTCAACTTGGTCGATTTTGGTGCGCAATAAGATCGGAAAAAAATTATAAATATGATTTTTTTTTTTTTTTTTTTTTAGAGGCATTGGATGTGTATATTATTATTTCTTAATTAGTATAGGCAAATTTCTTGCGTTTGTGAAGGCAAAAATGGTTTGATAAACAATATGACAACCTTTATAATAGTGGCGCCAAATTCAAAATTTCGTTTTAAAAACAATCACATCGGTGCTTTAGTAATTATTATTTGATTGGCAGATATAAATACATATCGGAAACATGCTTATATTCACTACAGAATCGTACCAGTTACAGATGAATACAAAGAATGATATGTAAAATTTCTGCAAAATACTTATAAAAATGCTTATTCAAATCAACGGAGGCTTTTACAACAAACCATCATCCTCATTAGAATTAACATCAGATGCTTATTAATTATTAGCATGACTGCCATTGATTTTTACTTTTTGTCATTCTTGATGTAATTTTTATCATCATTATTATTACTGTCATTATTATTTTCATAAGTATTACCATAGTCATCATTCCCATTATCATTACTACTAGTAGTATAAGTAAATGCAGAGAGTTTTATTGTACTTATGATTGCTATTGTCATTATCATAATCATTAATGCATTTTTATTTTGTTTTTGTTTTTTATTGCTGAGTATGGGTATTATGAATACCATCAATATCATGTTTACTTATGATTACTGTTCCAGTAGTATTAATATTTCCATTTTGGCTTTTATTTTCTTAATATTACTATGATTAACATATTTATCATTATCTATGATTACTGTTGGTTACAGTTGTTATTAATCATATTTCCACTTCAATTATTATTTTAGTATTATTACATATTCAAAATGGAAATTTTTCTTTTTTATGATTATGAACGGTGAAATAAATCTGGCAAGCAAGAGCTCTAACAAGTGTCACTATAATTACTGTTTACGTTTTAATGATTCTTATAAATATCAGTTTATGCAGTTATTTTTGTCTTTATCTTTGTCAGTTTCCTGAAATGAGTTTGATTATATCTCTAATTGATAAACAACTCCTTCACAAACTTCCCTCCAGGACAGCCATCATGGGGATACCATCAGCATTAAAATGTTAAAATAAGGCATAATATTTTATTAAACAGAACACAAATTAAATACCACACTCACCATGGGGGTAGCAAAGAATGATGTACATAAGTTAATGTTTTTGAGTACAGGGTATAACAGAATACAAGATAAAGGGCATCGGAAGAACAGTTACATAAAATACCACTTTATAATATAAGTCAACCAACATGTAGCAGATACGTGTAATTCCATTTCTACAGCAAAGCATAAATGTACTTGATTTTCCAGCATATTTTTTTTTGTATGATGGATTATTTTTGTTTTGTGGAAAATGTTACAGTTTTACTTAACGTATTTCTTAAAGCAAGTATTCCACGACTGGGTAGGGACCTCCAAAATCTCTGATGAATAAACATTTTTGCAGCCTTGTCTTTCCATTAATCTGATTAACTTATCACTCAAATTAAATAATCATGATATGCATTTATATAACATTTGGCAGAATGTATACTTTAAGTTGTTGCATCTGGAAAAGTTATCCATTGTAATTACAGACTATGAAAATAAGATTTCGCATTTCCGAGCACCATTTTTAATAGATATTGTATTATGCAAAATAAATGAGTTCCCATTGCCTTTTGCTACTTATTACTCACATAATATCAATCTTTATCCCATTTGTATTATTGATTACGAATATACAATCAATCAAGGTCTTAATGCAACAAAAGATCACTCTTAAATGGATAAATATCAGTAAAAATGGTACTCATCCAATTTATTGAGCAATAATAATGAAATAAGTTTATCATAAAGATGAAATGTGTACAAGCTATATTAAAACAAGCAAAATCAATCTCTTTAAAAATTTATTATGAGTGGCAAGGTCAAAATACAAAGCTAACAGACTTTTGAGTCCTGGTCCACTTAATCTAAAAGTTTTTTTTGTTTTTTTTAGTATGGCACAGATTTTATAAAACAAGATTTTTAACAAATCCCTTTGTTGAAAGATAACAGAAAAACAAGTTGGCTGAACCAAAGCATATGATATAAATCTCTTATAAAATAATTACACAGTGAAATGAACTAAAACATGGGGTAATGTGTGTGAAAATATGGAATGATATAATACCTAAAAATCAACTGGCGACATAAAAATAAAAACAGTAGTCTCTTTTTCTGGTGTACCAGTTTTGTTTATTTCAGGTGTATCAAAATGTATTTAAATCTAGAAGTGATGAAAATACAGAAGTATTAAAAGACAATTCAAAGAAATGTTCCACAGGGGAAATGGATGTCAAAGATATTTAGAAATTAAGCTACAATCTATTAATTTTCTCTTAAAACAATTTAATTTGCAAAGCAATGGCATTTCCAGTAAAGCAAAAGTAAGACGTATGAAAACCAAATTGAAATAACACATGACTAATATGAAGAGAGCTTTTTATATTTATCTGTATTGAACACGTATGGGTGATGGTTTAACACTTGCTCTCGGAGGCAGTTTAGGTGGTTGGGCGGAGGCAATCTCAGCTGGAGACTTTGTACTTTGGCTACGTAGAAAATTCCTTGGTATGATGGGTGTCTTGAAGCCTACCTCATCATTGTGGAATTTCCGCTGTGGGGTTGTTGCTTCACCCCTGTGGGGTTTTGTTGTTTCCCTAGAATGCTCTTGTTGAATGTTTATCCATGTACTTTCCTTCAGTGGAGACACTACAGCAACTTTTGCAAGATTGTGTGGAGATTTATCAAAATGGAATGATTTTTGCCTTGCTTTCAACAGCTCTCTTGGGGTCATAGTTGATCTATGAGGCATACTCTTAGTGTGCTTGAGTTTAGTTCCTCTGCTCTCCGAGTTTGCCCCACGCTGTAAAGGCAGTCTGTGTGGAGTGCCACGCATTCTTGATTGCCTCCTCTGAGCAGGCGTTGCAGTTTCTAAATTGCTGAACAATCGCACATTGGCTGTCACCTTTTTCTGTTTCATGAGTGCTGCTAGTGATGGCCTTCCTGCATTCTCAGTTACACCACCCTCTTGATCATCTTCCATATCCTCAATGTGATCAATGAAGTCTGCTGCAGGTACCCAACTTTCATCTCTACCCGATTCTGGAACCACAACAGCTGGGATTGCATAAACAGCTGACTTGTTTTGGCTACCCATTTGTTCATTATTCATGGGCTCTTCATCTACATCCATACACTCACTGGAATGACTGCTCAAGGTGATTCTATCACCCTGGTTTTCAATGTGGACTGAATTTTCAGATGAATGAATCATAATGAATGAATCTAAATTTGCGGAAGCAGACAAAATACTAGACCGCCTACGTGTCATTGGTCCAGGGAACTGCTCCAGGAAACTTCCCATCAGACTATCATCAGTGTTTAATGCAGGTAGGCTACTACTCAGAGACAAATTACTATTTGTATTTTCTAGTCCAGACACCTCAGAATTTTCAAATATCTTCTCTCGTTCATTTGACCTGTTGTATAAACTCTGATTTGTAATCTGTAAACGTTGGATCTGCTCCTGTTCACCATTTCTCCTG